CATTAACATAGTGTAATTTAAAATACTATATTTATTTTATTATAATATAATATTTATATTCTTTAGAATTTAATATAATACAACTATAATATTAACTACTAGTAGTAGACACTAGCTAGTTACAAAATATATGCACATAAAGTACTATTAACTAAATCCACAATTAATGACTTAAAAACTTAACTAGTATACTATACAGACAAATAACATTAAAATCTTTAGTAACAACAAATCCATGAAGCTTTATTAAAAAGTTGTAACAAATATATGAAACATACACAAAATTGTTAATACAAAATCAATACACTAATTAAGATAATACAAAATAGATTGCATTTGCAATTCCATTTAACGACATCCCGTTCACGAGTCTTCTTTCCAAGGTATACATTATAACACGTATATGTATTTACATCCCCCATAAATTCTCTCTTTTCCCCCATTACGTTCCCTTTCAGTGACTCCGAACAGTATATGCTGACATCTGCGTGACATATTGTGCATTCAAAACCTTGGGTGGCCATACACTATTCTTTTGCAAGAATATTTATATTTATTCTTTAACAAATATTTTTTATCTTTAATAAAATTTTTATCTAAATTAATTTGTTACCTTTAATTATTATTAATTAATATTTATTCTTTGCTTAACGACACACGCTATTCTTTCCTAACCTCAATTATTCTACTCTCAGACGCACCTCCAAGACTCATGACACAGGCCTTCCTGATAAATATTTACGCCAAAGGTCTTATGCGTGTAATACCCACAGCCAAAAGTGCTGCAAACTTTCCAAACGACCCAATAAGGAACTTCCATGTAAAGACACATATGTGGGTAAGGGATCAACGTTCCACAGCTTGTTTCTATTTACAGAATCTCTCCAGGACATTGGTCTGTACGTTGCGAAATCTTATGCTAGTTACTCTGCAAACTTGATAGATGGCTTGTGTTATATTAAAGCTTAATATACAGTATGATATATTACATTTCGTAATATAATTTATCAGTGTATTATATTAATAATTATTGTTATATTATGTTAATTATTGTTATGTTATTATTGCATTGTATAATTTATGTATGATTTTATCTAATAATTTTCTAACCTCAATGGTCCAATATTTATTTGCAAACCATAACGAATTGCATCAAAAATGGAATAGAATATATGTTTCCTTTTAAAAAACTAAATTTGACCTTCGTATAACCTATATGCATCTACCTATAGAAAAAATTATTACATTATGCTCTTATCGGAAACATTCACTTCTCATTTCAATCATTGTTTCATTTGCAATAGTTAATTTATAAATAATTCGCACTTATCCATTAAAATTGGACACCCTGTATATAAATAGAAAAAGTTATATATATAATATATCATCTTATTTTAGTTGTTAAATCATCTTTTTATCAACTATAATACAGCATTAAAGAAGAAATCTATGGACTTTTACAACTCTGAAGGTCCTCATCAATATTTCATAAAAAAAAAGTATATAAAAGGATTAAATTCCATTCACCTAATGGTTACTTTCAAATACAACGAAATTCATTAAAACATTTTTTTATAAAAATAATGGATAGTACACAACGTATTTCTAATAATAATTCTTATTGCGTTAGTTTAGGTTAGGTTACGGTTATATACCCGGTATATGAAGGTCAATATGTATATACATTTTAGATTAATATAAATAATTATATGTAAAAAATAACAATATATTAATGTAGTATAATATAATATACCGTGTACATATATAGTAATTTATTACTATTATATACATATATGTTTATAGTACATTATTGCACATATATAAAATATTGATGTACCGTTAAGCAATAATAAAATTGATTATTATTGGTTCAACTGTTGAGAACAAAATTTGATTTGATTCGATTGACGATTGGGAAAGAATTTAGAAACAATACAATACGCATTAGGAATTTGGTGTTTGAAAATATACTTTTGTATTGGTTTTCAAAATAACACAAATTTCCTTTAAAGGTAGTGAATTTTAGCAAAAATGCAGTGGTTGACGATATATCAAATCGGTTAATAAAAAAATTAGTTGATAAAAGAATATTTTGATTTTTAATAGTCATAGGTTAGATTCTATATTTCGATAAAACTATAAAAAATAGTAATATGGTGCTTGAAAGTTGTATATAAAAAAAGAAAAGTAAAGTAAATAATAAATTAATGCATAGAAATTCTTAATTCTTGAACAAAAGATAACAAAGGATATCTAAGGCAGTGTTCAATTTTACATATTTATGAAGGTACCAGTAACTTCGACAATTTTCCGTATGCAACTCCTTTGAGACCTTTATCGCATAGGTCAGTTGATAAATACGTTAGTCTTTCCTACAAAGAAACAAAAAAGAAATTTCATTTGTTGCCGATGTAAACATACTTTTAGTCACTACTTTTCAATATGGTTAGTTAAAAAGCTGATTATTGTAAAACTGCCTTAAAGTCATTTAACCATCTAATAAAATATATTTGGAAAGGATTAGATAAAAATATAAGACTATATAATATTACAAATAAAAAGAACTTGCAAAAACTTTGCAAGAAGAATGGTGAAAAATAATATAGAAGTTTTTGAGAAATTTTATTTTTACAGATTCACTAAATTTAAGTCTGTGTTAACTGCATAAACGGATTATCACATACAACATTACAGAGAACGAGCCAAATCGTGATTAACGGTGCAGCCCAATGTATAATCACGATTAAATCGGTGTGGCCATCTGTTAGCAGAGGTCGCCTCTAATTAGATTACCATCTCTCTCTGATGTCGAACGGTCTCTGTCTTACCACCTAATCATCGATTTCTCAATTGATGCGAAGCCTGCGGAAAAATGGAATTCAACTGTCGACGATTTAATCATATAATTACAGACGAGATATAGACTAAATCTACTACTCAATGCAGCTTTGGTATGGAGAATTTTAGTATTGGTTTATCACTCAAAAATAATTTTTATCATTTCCAATGTTAACGATTGAGTATAAAATAAAATTACAATATTAACAAAAGTTGAAATTAAAACTAAATTTAAGTATGAAATTAACAAATAAGATACAATACATAGACTGTAGCGTATTTGTGTTTTTATCATATTTAAATTTAATTCCAACCATTGTGTACGAAAATATACTGATTCCATACTGAATCGATAACATTGGATGCGACACAAAAATGATAAGTAACTCGTGTGTTCTCAAAGATGTGATGGAAAAGTGCATGGAATATCAGCTTGTCTCCCATGTCTTTTATAGTAAAATAATTTTATTGTAAAAAAATATGCTTTATAGTTTAATCTAAATTAAAAATAAAAATAATTAAATATTAAATTAATTAAACTTCATCTGTATAACAAAAATTAATTTTATCACTTACCATATGTCAGTTAATATAACACACTAGATGTCGTTAAGGAAAACCTCCTGGATTCTCACATGTTGACATAAAATAGTAAAACATAACCTACAGAATATTTAGTAAATTTACTTTAATTATATTTTTTTTGTGTTACTTATGTAATTTCATTATTTAATTTATCATATTATTAAGATAAAAAATAAAGTTCAAACAAAGTAATCAAATCGAGATACTAACGTGCAATAATAACCTATAACTACCTGATGTGATTTAGTTTCTGTAAAAAATGTCAGTTCCGTGTCAAGATATCATTGAAGACATAGAAGATTTAATATCATCACAAGATATTACACCCAAAGAACGATACAGTACAAGAAAAAATATTACTATTCGTTCTAAACGTAAACAAATAATTGAAGAAGTTCCACAACCTCCGATTCTTAATAGTATCGTACCAGGAACACAAACAATTTATGTAAAAACTTGGGGATGTACACATAATAACTCTGATAGTGAATATATGGCAGGTCAACTTGCTACCTATGGTTATAAATTAACAGAAAATAAATATGAAGCTGACTTATGGCTTTTAAATTCTTGTACAGTAAAAAATCCAGCAGAAGATCATTTCAGAAATGAAATCGAAGCTGGAAAGAAAATAGGAAAACATGTTGTAGTTGCTGGGTATGAATACTATCTTATATTTACCAATTGTACTTCATTTTTATATTATTTATTACAAGCATGATTTTAAATAGATGAATGTGAGTAATCTTTGATTTAACGTTACTGTGAAACAGAATAAAAATAAAGAATTTAGTACAAAAACATAATTTTCTGCACTGATTTTTAAAGAAAATAAGATGTATACTCAAAAATTTTAAATCTCTTGCAATAATAATAATTTTCTTATACAGTAATGTATGACATTATACAACAGGACATGACTCAATATTAGATCACTTTTCTGTCGATTGCTAGTAATTGTATTGAGCAATTTGAAATTAGAGAAGAGAAAAATGTTTCTCTTCATCTAAATATCTTTCTTTTTACACATTTTATTCAACAAAATTTACAGTAAGAAACAGTTATTTTCAATTACTTAATATGTTAAGCTTATTTTTTGAATTTGAAAAATTATGTTGTATTAATATTAATTTATCCCTTTTGTACTCTACTTTTAAAATATAATTTTAAGCTTACTTTTACAAAATATTATTTTTACATATTAATTTATCATCAAAAATTTTAATATAAAATAAAAGTATACAAAAAAGAAAACTTTTTATAACAATTAATTCTATATAATGTTATTTATTCATTTAACAAATCTTATCTCTAATTATAGTTAAAATGTAATCAGTTCAAATATTTTAAAAAGTTAAAATAGCATTCGAAAACATAGCAAACAGAAAAATTTCAAGTAATAAATCAAAATAATCATCATTCTTCATCTTTTCTTACGTTTATTTTTGCTATCTTGTATAATAAAAGATGCAACGAATTTTATAATTATGAAAACTATATTGAACTCTTAATTATCTGGACTTCTTATCGTACTAATTGCACAAACAAATATTTTTATTATTTTGGTTTGAAATTATGCAAAAAAATTCGTTACCTTTAATATGAAAATTTGTTAAACGTGTTAATTAATTCTTGATACAAAATAAAAAACATTTGTACAATATAGTATTGTTCGCAAAATAAAATACCATCTAAAATGCTATTTATTAAATTTTTTATTTTATAAAATGTTTAATTTTATTGAATTAATTTTCTTTCATTATTAATTAATTTTACTTTGTTCCCTTAGAAAGCTATAACATTTGTTTTATCTAGAAAATTAAAAATAACTTTTTCTACATAGGAATATCAACAAAAAATTGTTATTCAAATGATAAATATATATTTGTTTATTTTAAATTTTGTAAATTTTGAAAATTATTAAAATATTTTCCACAATTTAATAAACCAAAAAGAAAAAAAAAACAAATAAAAAATAAATTATTTTTAGATGTGTACCACAAGGCGCTCCGAAATCATCTTTCCTGCAAGGATTAAGCATGATCGGGGTACAGCAGATCGACCGTGTGGTTGAGGTAGTCGAAGAGACTCTAAAAGGAAACTCTGTTCGGTTTCTGCAGCAGAAAAAGGAAGCTGGTAAAAAAATCGGAGGTGCTTCTTTAAGTTTACCCAAGGTTCGAAGGAATCCGCTAATCGAGATCATAGCTATAAACACAGGATGCTTGAATCAATGTACTTACTGCAAGACAAAGCATGCAAGAGGCGAACTAGGAAGTTATCCCCCCGAGGAAATTGTCGAACGTGCGATACAGGCGTTCGACGAAGGCGTTTGTGAGTTATGGTTGACATCCGAAGATACAGGAACTTATGGCAGAGATATTGGCTCGAGTTTACCAGAATTACTGTGGAAACTTATCAAAGTGGTGCCTGATGGTTGCAGGATTCGTGTTGGAATGACTAACCCACCGTATATTCTGGAACACCTGGAGGAAATGAGCAAAATTTTGAGGCACCCGAAAGTCTATAGCTTCCTTCATGTTCCGGTACAATCTGGAAGTGATCAGGTGTTAGCCGACATGAAGCGAGAGTACACTCGAGCTGACTTCGAGCAAGTCGTCAATTTCCTACGAGAACGTGTTTCTGGATTAACTATAGCAACAGATATTATTTGCGGTTTCCCAACGGAAACAGAACAAGACTTTGAAGAGACGATGAAACTTTGTGAAAAGCATAAATTCCCGAGTTTATTTATCAATCAGTTCTTCCCTAGACCAGGTACACCGGCTGCTCGAATGCCAAAAGTACCCACGCAAGATGTAAAAAAAAGGACAAAGAGGTTATCCGAATTCTTTCAGTCTTATTCTCCGTATGACAATAGAATAGGATTAATTCAAGATGTACTAGTCACAGAAGTATCTCATGATAAAAAGCATTATGTTGGACACAATAAATCTTACGAGCAGGTTTTAGTACCATTGAAAGAAGAATATTTAGGGAAGATGATTAGAGTAAAGATCATAGAAACGACGAAATATTCTATGAAGGGAGAACCAATAGCAGAAGGTACATCTCCGGCATTAAAAGCGTCTTTACCAAAGGGAACTATATCCGGATTACCAATGGAAATGAAACCATCGAAATACAGGATAGCAGCAATCTTAACGGTCTTCCTCGCAGTTATGCTTAGGCTATTATGGAAATTTTTAATGGTTTAGGGAGCATAGTTTTATTACTGTTTATGTTGTAAATAAATACAACGATTTTATATTTAAACCAGAGTCTATTTTCATGTAATACTCCTAAAACTAAATAGGTTAACGTGACTAACAAAGAAAAATTTCTGTTAATAGATCACAAAATATTTAATATTTTATTACGACGTCTAAAAGGTTATTATTATGTCTAATTTACAAATTTTTATTATACTTTTTAAAGAAAAAAAAATTTTTCTTAAAAGTTACGACTATGATCGTCCATCATAGCAACTATAGATTGATTAAAAATGCCTCGATGTAAAATGAATGAAAAGAGACTAGAATTCTGTTATTTCGAATTATGTCTGAAAAGGATGCTTCTAAAAGACAAAAAATAAAAACACCGGTAAATAATTATTTAACTATATTTCAATTGACAAAATACAGGAACCTGCCCTGAATGGGCTTACAAAATTTTATTAGGACAACCCGAGTATACTAATAATCTTGTAATTGAACAAAACCGAACATAATTTAACTTATTCAACGCATTCGAAACTATAATAGTAGAAAAGAAAAAGGAAACGAGAGTATTGAGCATTCTCGAATTAACTTATCTTCGAGAAATAATAACTATAGAAAATAAAAGTAGAACGTACATTACTTCTTAAGACAATATATTCGCTAAAGAAACATAAACCTCTTAATTTATTGCATTAACAATGCTCTTTTATTTGGTACCGTCCCTCTCGACGTTAAGGTTTTGCTCTTCACTCAAATAGCTTATTCTAAAAATATTAGCTTATTCTTACTAAAAGTAAGTAGCTTATTCTAAAACGAGTGTAGTTATTGTCAAAATATTTCCTGAGTATTAAACTTCACAGATGAAACTGTGTAATCCACTAGGAGCAATAAAAGAGATATTTGAGAATTCTTTTTATTAAAAGTAAAATTGAAATTTTAGAAGAATTTTGAAATAATCAAACAATCTCAATAGAATATGATTTTTTTGCTTATTCATGTTTTGCTGTTTTTTATGTGCTACAGCAAAATTCAACAATAAATAGTTTCGCCAGAACCATTTATTCTGCAGAGATCATATTTTGAATACAATTTTTGTCAAATATTCACATTGAAGTGTTTATAATGTGTTCACATATTTTGTTGTATTATTTTATAATTATAACTTTTCAATAACAATATATTATTATTTAAATGTGAATAAAAAATCATAACTCTTCTAATGAATACAATTTCTTACTCTTTCTTGCCCATTTTTTTTATACAGTTCTCTTTCAATTAAAATTATTAGATAAATATGTAAAAAGAATTGTAAAAAATAATCTCTTTTATTGTTCGTATTATGATGTAATGAATGATTATAATATTAAAAGCTGGCACTTCAAATATTTTGGATCCTGGTAACATTCAACAGGACTGACCTAAAGATACACCCGTTTATAAACAAAATATTTCATATATCTGATTTTTTGCACATGTCTAGAAATAACGTAAATTGGTAAATAAGAGAGCAAGTGTTTATCTTTTTGAAGGATGATTAAGTCGAAACTCTTCTTGTTTCATTTTTTGTTTACAAGAATCATTTAGGTTAATGGCTATTAATTTTTCCATATTTCCTACAGTTTTGAGTTTCAAAAATTTTAAGGCACTTTGCACAGTTTTATCTTGCTCAACACAAAGTTTCATGTATCCTTTAATGATATTAATCCTCCAAAAAGTAATATTTATAGTATAAATTAAATAAAAATTAGCAATTAAATGATTTGACCAGCAGTTATCGTTAACAAAATAATATAAAAGTATAAAAAAGGAATAATGTAATATCTATACACTATTTTAATATAAGGCACATTATGTCTTTTGTATTGACAATAAAGGATGGTTAAATCACTTAATCGCTAATTTCATTTAATTATATATCTTAGGCACTATTTGCGCAATACGAAATAAAAACATACTAAGGCCACATTTTATACATAAAACGAACGCTTTTTTTCTAGCTCTTGTCGAGCATAAAAATTCCAAATTTATATATACTACAAATTTTAGATATTTCTCTGGTATGTGTAAAAAAATAACCTGCAGCCTCGTTCGCGAAAATTTTGGCATCCTTCTAGCTCGTTCTTAAAGGCACTTCATCTCATACTCACTACCAATCGATTTTTCTATCGTTTTCGAGGCGACAGTACGCAAAATACTATGTAATTAATAATAAAATCAAATTTTCTCAATTAAAATGTACCTAACAATATCTACAATGCATTCGATCTTTTGATTAAGTCTTTGAGCGTATTAATGATCATCTAAAGATTAAAAACACTACGTACACTGGAATGATATTGTCCCATATCACAGAAATGTCGTATATGTTTGTTGCAACCACGCTGTTCTTAAACAAATTATATTTGAATTACCAGAAAATTGTTCATGCTAAATTATATTAGAAAAATATAATAAAATAAGGGGAGAAATAATTTATTGTTTGTTTTTTGCTAAAAATCAGAAACGTTTTAAAAACACTTATGCCGTGAATTGTTGAAAATGTACTTAAAAAGTAATTTTAGTAACTTTAGTTAGTAACTATCCTGTTGAATAACTTTCTAATTTTCTTTTTTCTTTCTTTTTTTTTTTTGGAATGTAACAGTGTATTCTACAGTCCTCCTTTTTCATTTTTATATTTGTTACTAAATTATTATTTTCTATACAATATAATTTATTGGTCATTTTTTCCCTAATATACAAAATTTAGATTAAAATAACCATGTTTAATAAAAATTACAAATATGTTTGCAGTTTCTTGTGGTAAAAAATAAATACTGGCTTCTATCAGATCTTGTATGGTATTATACAACAGAAAAAAGATTTTCATTATACAAGATTTATATTTTTGGGGAATAAAAAAAAAAAGAAAAGAAAAAAACATATTATAAGTAGTGTTACCAAGAATAATGATCAAATTAATATAGCATATCCACATGGTTCTATATATAAGACAAGTTTATATGCAAACCATGTTTAAAAATGCTTTATTCTAGAGTAATTATAAAGAATCAAATATTCATTACATATTGAAGAGAGTTATAAAACTAACAATTCTTTTTAAGAGACAATGAATGTTTGATTTTTTAATATTTTCTTAATAAAGTATTTGACTCTTTTAACATGTTGTATTAATTTGATTATAGGACACCTACTATTTAAAAATCCCACAAAATATAAAGAATTGACAAGACAAAATTTTGATTGTATCTAAAAAATAATTTAAATATATACTTTGTAATGATTTATAGATTTCATCATCTATAAAAGTATGTCACTTTACTGGATTAAGGAACTATAAATTTTGTAGTTACACTTATATGCAGATGAACAATGAAAATCGATACAAATAGTTTTGAATAAATTTTAAATATGTAATGAGAAATATAGAACTTTCAAATATTGACGAGATTAAAATAGTATATTAATTAAAATATTAACTCTGAAAAAAATAACATCACATGAATTTCGTCATAATTTAAAATTATTTTCTGTAAAAAAAGCAAGAAGCTTTCAATTCTCATTAATTACCTGTAACACCAGCAAAATTGTTAATAAATTCGCTGTGCACATTAGACGTTAAAATAAAAATCTATGAGAAAATTATGATTTTAACATATTTCTAATTTTTCAAATTCACGGCATAAGGCTATAAACTTATTTTGCAATCGATAAAAAAAATTTACATAGAGACAAAAAAAACGATACAACACTAAACGAACATGTGGAACTAACGAAACACAGATCTTTTCACGACATTTCATAGAAATTATTTGGATTTTCGCTTAGAGAGAGACATATTAATAAACTTTTTCTTCTTTTTACAAAATGGAAATTTCGTGATCGATATTTGAACATTCTTCTTATTAGTGATAAATTTACAATGTAATTTCATTCGGTTAAAATGATTCGAGGACCTGGCAAAACGATATAGCATACAAAATTTTGTGTAATCGAACAAAATCTTTATTTATATCCACGCCAATGTTAATAAAATATTTCCTGTTTTTTTTTAACCTTTTGGTGATTGATTTATCGGGTATAAAGTAAATAAAACAGATAAAATATTTTATTTTACATTCTTATAAAAATGTCATGGTTTTGCGAAGATATTCGAACGAAAAGAAATTTCAGTTTCTTTTATTCGAAGAGAGCAATTAAAATTACGATGTAAATATTGATCACGAAATTCAACCGAATACAAATATATTACTATGCGCTGGTTATTTACATGCAGTCTTTTGCGATCCAGCATACACCGGTACAAAAATAACGTTTGAACGAAAAAAAAGGAGAAAAAAATTAAATAAAAAAAAACGTCTGGCGTCTCATTCAAACTTTAAAACGAACGTACAAAGAATCGATGTGGCGTACTAGAACACTACAAACAACGTAAAAAATAAAGTATGGCTCCCATGAAGGGTGAGGAAAAACAAAGAGAAGTAATGACCTCGACTTGTCCCTGTTTTATGACGCAACTCTCTGTCTTTTCTTTCGCATAAACATTAATAAAAAAACAAAATACGTTATGGCAATTCTTATGGCGTAAATTACACAATGGCACAAAAGTGTATATTTGTTTTTGTACCGGTTTGGATGTTGAAAACTTCAGAGCAATATTGACAAAAACCTTCAGGGATAAACTGTTTAGGATGAAATCGAACCTACGATTTTATCGACGGAACACTAAACGCTTAATTTTAACAATGGCGACATAAACAAATGGTAAAAGCAGTAAAAATATCATGAGTGGAGAAAAATATATATTTTTTCTTTCTTTCTTTTTTCTTTTTTTTTTTTAATTCTTTGAGTTGTCGTTTCATATTAATACCAATATAATACTTTTAGGTTCGTTTAATACTAGCAAATCGTTATCGATTAATCATCCATGATATTGAACACGATTTATCGCAGTATAAAAAGGACGTTTAAGATCGATAAGGCAGTGAGCGCCTTTATCCCAATGAGAAAGTTTTTGCCAATACTACTCTGTTTTATCTTCCGATACTTGGCTCACACTCTAGTTTCTGGCACTGCACATTTCTTTTGCCCACACATACACATTTTTTTATCGTACTATACTTATAACTACGCATAATTCGATAATACTTTTTGAGAGACCCTTTTACGAGTCATGGCAATCCTCTTTTTGATCTCGTATTTTATGAGACTAGGAGCAATACATACACGCGAGACAAAACATTTGCTTTGTTCCCTTTGGAGAGAGGGTCGCATCTTAAGGAGAGAGAGAACACTAAGAGAGAAAAGAAGAATGCATCTAAATTACGAATCAACGAACAGCGAGGTAAGACGGGATTAAATTCCACAAGCTACATTTTACTCACACGTACGCTTTGTATGTTCAACGATTTTCAGACAATATCGTTTTAAAATTTAACACAGAACGAAGTTTAAACAAAAAAAAGAGAAAATGAACAAATTTTTCTTACGAACGTACACATTTGGACACTCAAAATTTATGAAACATTGTTGTGAAATAAATTTCGAGATACGATTAAGATAAAACATAGAGAGACGAACAAATAATTTAATTAAAATACTAATTAAGAAATTAAAATCTACTAAAAATGCGAGATTAAAAATTTCGAAAAACATGGTCAAGAGATTAAAATTAAAAAGTAGCTCGCTCTTCACTGACTCGACATATCTTTAAAAATACGCACGAAGAAATGCGTTTCCTTTTTAGGAAGGTTAAAAAATCCCGTCGGTATTTAACCTGTATTATTAAAATTCACGGACCGTCCATTCTTCTTTTGATAATCTATTTCAGTCGGCTTTTTTATCACGAGTCACTTGCATTGTAAGTCAACGAGTTGAAATTCCACATCTCAGAAATTAGTGACACGTCACGAACGAAATGCACGACCAATTAACCACTGTACTTGTGGAGAAATTAAAGGCTCAAGGTATGTCGCATCCTTGTGAACGGTATACAGATGTCGACAGCTATCGTCTCGCGAGAGGGCGTTCGTGTAACAGAGAAGATCAGTTGGTCAAAAAGGTTGCAACTTCGTTTCTAACCAACCGTCGTCCCCCTACTGGCTTCATTAGGTCGCGACGCACGATGGTTCTTGGCTGTATAAAAAGTGGTCGACGCAAAGTGTCGGTCCATGCCCTTAAAGGTTTTACGAGTCGGCTCCTATAGTCTTTTCTCATATTTTCTCTTTTTCTCTCTTTCTCTGCTTCTTGTTCGTATTGTTAATCGTTAATCGCGATCTTCGGTGCCGTCTCTTTTCTCCGCTTTACCCACCGAACAAAACGTCAGGGGAAACGTCGAAACTTCCCTCTACCGACTCAATTATGTAATTTAAGAGCCACGTAAAAGTCCTGTTAATCGCGTGGTGGGTAAGATTCAGTCGCACTGCAAATTTATGATCCTTAAACGGGCTATATTCAATCTGCGGAGTTTGAATCTATCGACTCTGATGGAGCCGAGTAAATGATGCTTTCTTAAAACTTCATTAACTTTCCACTAATTCACGGTGGAATTAATAGCGATTTGAAAGGCGTATCTTATGTGGCTTTTAGTTTGTAAATGCTGATGGACTATTTAGTAACCAGGAGTCCTCGGGTTTTCTCCTCCTTTAGAAGATACCTCTCTCTCCTCCATTTACTTGTCTGACCAAATGGATAACGCAAGTGGTTCGGAAACGAGATAAATTTAAAAATGAACTTGACTTAAATTACCAATGATCGTTAGTAAAAAAAAAAAAAAAAAAAAGAAGTAGTTCTTAGAATATATAATGATTCTTTTTCAAGTTACAAAATTTTTAATTTTTTTGTTTTTTAATTTTTTTGAATTTTGAATAGCGTAAAAGCGTGTTAAAAAGCAAATTGATCAACAGTTTTCTTCCTTACCGAACCACTTGCACCAACCTCATTTATTTACATTTCCAAAACACTATTTTACGACGATTAAACGATCCCGAAATATATATATATATATATTCCTTACGATCCTCGATGCTATGCTAGGAGATTATAATTTAACTTTCATCGAGAAAAGTGATAGGATTAAAAAGAAATCTATCTGAGAAAACATTCCCGACGAACGTTCTCCAAGGAAATGCTCATAATCTCCTGAGATTCCGTTTGCTTTGCCTTGAGCCAATGACCAGACGTTTATTCCTCTTGGTTGGCGTGGCTAACAGGGGTGTTTTACAAGGACCAGTGTGTGGCCTCGATGAACAGGAGGTGCAAAATTCCATCGAGCAACCTTGTCTCGAACACGTTCCCACGTTCTTCACACCGTCCACGTGGCAAGGAAATGAACACTTCGGACACGGTAACAAATGTTCCCAGGGTGCGAGTGTACGACTAGCCTGTTAACAATAATATAACAAAAATAATTAAAATATGTCAAAATATGCTATTAAAATTATAACTACATGTTTACATAATATTTGGTTAAGCTTTTTTTATTTGTGAATATACATATTTTCGATTTTTGAATTCACTATTTTTTATAAAGTTTAATTATTTCTCTTTTCTTGTAAATAATTATGTAGTATATTAAAATAAAGAAAAAAATCTTTTTGATGAAGTATGTTATATCAGTGAAGATAGGGGGTATGAAAATTATAATTTTGAGAAATATTATTATTAACAATATCAAAAAATATTCTATCTTCCTATCTATAGTAACTTTTTTTCTTTGTCAAATAAGCTATTGTAAAAATTTAACATGTAATTATATTATTAACCTCAACTAATTTAAATTGCATAAAGAAAGGTTATGTATTATTACAAATTATAAAATGTTTTCTGTAGATAAATTACATAGGAAGATGTTCTTCACGGATGGTAATACACCATTACTAAACAGTGAAAATCATAGGAAACACTCTTTAGTAACCACGGTCGGTAATACTGTGATATGCTGCTAAAGCCGTGTTATCAACATACACTATTTTAAATACAGCAAATATAATAATAAAAAAATATACTCTTTTTTAACCTGTAAGTTATTAACAAATGCAAATAGGTTAAAACTTTTGAATGTTATAAAAACATTCCTATATTACTACAATTTATATAAATATATATTACTACAATTTGTATATTTTTGCTTTCAAAGTCCTCCAATCAAAGGTCGAATTTCTTCCCAATTTTAAAATAGAAAGTTTTGGAAATGAATATCTATAAAAAAAAAAAAAAAAAGTATAAATGAATTCTACAAATGAAATATGATGGTATTTCCTAGATACTAAAGATAAAAAAGACGCAATGAAAAAACGTTTATCAATTTTAGCAAAATTTAATAGAAACATTGAAAGTTCAAAAAATTCGATATTAATTCGATTTTTCTCTAATCGAATATTTTAATATTACTGATTTTACTTTCTCTAAAATCCTGTAATAATTCTTCATTTTTGTTTGTCACTAGAACGTCTTCAAAAAATGCTATAGACAATTACAAACGAAGTATCCTACTTTACCAACCGTGATACAAGCGAGGATGAGGACTAGTTCAACAGAAATACCTTTATAACCATAACGCAAAGAAACTAGAATTATCTTTGGGTATTATCGACGGGTGTTACACTGAACTAAGCAAAAAATGAAAATGTAACCGTTACAAGTGTGAAAAGATCCATTACCCTGTTTTATCTGGTGCTGTTATCTACTTCTAGATAACGCGACTAGTATTTCCTATTTCCTTAATTGCCAAAAATGTAAAGCAATTAGAGGAAAAGACAAGGACTGTCAACCTTCTAGTCCCTTTGGCGTGGACCAGTAATTAATCGGATTAGTTACGTCAGGTTGCACCTGCTCGCGTCAGGATGACTTACTGCAATAACGCAAGGTGAAAGGAGTGCTGAGCCGTATACTAACACGAGGATTACAAGAGGATTCACCTGCCTGCGTACATTTTCACACGCAGTCATACTTCGAACACGAAAACGACGAATTTCAAATTTTTATACACGGAATATTCACAACAGTGCATAATACACTTCGTAATTATACTTTTGTAGAAAATTCCAATTCGATAAAAATTCTTATTTTTTTATTCCAAATAATTATCACTACCCTATATCTTTTTCTCAAGAAAAATATTTTATCGAAACAAATATTTCACATTTTGTATTCCCAATAGGGAAGAAATAAAATTACGCAAATTAATATTTATGAAAGAAATGAAATATTAAAATTACACTATGTATATTAAAAAATCAATATTCGATATTATATAGTGAAATATATTTTTTAATTAATCGAGAGTAATATTAGACTCGTAAGAGACTATGAATGATAAAATTTAGAATCAATGAATGACAACTTACGAGTAAGGGAGCCGTTCATGATAAACAGACGCATGGACTGTATGCGTTTACAATTCAGCATAGCGTCACGAACAACAAACAACGTTGTCGAAGCAGGCTGCCGAGCATCTGTCGTGCATTGCTAATTAGCGCGGCAGAAATGCGTGAGAAAATTTAAGCGATCGAGTATGCGAGACGAAATCGAAGGTTATTAGACGAATGTCCTTTTCCCGCTCTCCGACGCGACAAAACATCGCGTGCGTCCAAACAAACGCGATTCACAGTTGTGCCAGTCGAAATTCCCTGCCTAGCAACCGGGCTCCGGCCGGGCCTGGTCGGATCTGAAAGTAACGTCAAAACGTTGGCGCCAGAATTTCTGGCGGGAAAGGAGTGGGCCTCGCAGGTTAGGACACAAGATCACCATATGCGATGTTATCTCCTCCTTATTTCGTTACAGAAGGATCCGATAAAATGAATTATACTGCGACCATAGATTTTTCTTTTTTTTAACGGTAACCCAGACAACTTTTTTCCAATTCGTAATTTACAAAATGAGAAATTTTCAAAAAATTCGAGGTTTATAACGATGCCATTTGTAACGTGATAGATAATATAAAGCAGTCGTTCATAGTACAATTACGGTCATTTCATGGGAATTTTATAAAATAGTAGATAATAAAGAAATTTATCATTTTTGATATAATAATACACCGATTTAATAATACAAATAATATAAGTATTTAACCAGAGAATTTTGATCAATATTTTATTAAAATAAAAAAAATGGAAAGACAATTTATAACTATTGTAGATTTTTAAACGATGATACTGAATGTTTCCAAGCATCTTTCACCCTATTGGTGTTGCTCCAGTAATATTATTAGTATATACATTATTTAGTTTTATTTTCACAGATAAAACATGGAGGGTGGTGAAGAAGACTACTGGATAAATAAATTCAAATATATTTACAATTCTTCTCTTTCCAAAATTTTTGACATCAAAAATTTTTACTTCAAAGGTACAATAAAGTTGTTTATTGACAACATAAAAAGATTTTCAAAATATTGTTATTAATACTATTATCATTATCATTTCCAGTCCTATTAATATTATTATTGTTATAATTATTACTATGTACATGTTATTACTGTCATTATCACCATTATTGTAAATATTATTAATATTATTATTGTCATTATTATTAATAAAAACTAATTAATATTATATTGTAACACGAAGAGGAAGTAAGTGCTCCCCCTTCGACTTAAACAGCAATTTTACCACTGATTCGATTCTCGTATAGATTTTTACAAAATCAAACATTAATAGAGATGTCAAGATAAAATAAATAAATAAATAATAATAAATCTAATAAGAAATACTCTAATAATAAATAAATAAGTAAACTGCAAATCTACATTTTTTTTTATAAAATATTTCCTTCCCCTCTTCGCTCCCCATCCCCCCTCTCCCTCTCTCTCCCTCTCTCTCTCACTCTCTCTCTTTCTCTCTTTCTTTGCCCATACTTTTTCAAACTTACTTTTCTCCATGCGTTGGAACAAAATTTACAATCTTTTTAATCTCACGTTCATAGTCTTTCTTCTACAAAATTTCTAACCTCAAAAACATATCCAAGCTATAACATTTACAAAAAAATTCATATAACCCACCACAGAGAAAAAAATTCTCGGAATACAAATGATCACAAAAAATTTCTCCAATAATAAATAAACAATTCACTACGCGTTGCAACAAAATTTACAATCTTCCTACTCCCACATGTTCATAATCTTTCTTTCTTCTACAAAATTTCTAACCTCAAAAAATCACCAGGGTTACATTATATTTAAAAAAAAAATTCGTATAACCAATCGCATGAAAAATTCTCACAATACGAATGATTAATAAAATTTTTCTAATAATAAATAAACAAAAGCGTAGCAAAATTACAAGATATACCACCCTATAGCGAAAAATTAATTTTCAACATTGATATACCTCTCTTAAAATCGTACAAAAATTAATCGTTTCCACAAACTATTTCTTCCCCCATTTATTTTCTAACAAAATACATCTTCTACTCTGTAAATTTCAAATTTTGAACTTAATTCAAGGAAAACGTGGATCGACGGGACCGTTGGTAATATATGGTAGAAACTAAATTGGAGGAAATGGTTTCCAGGGAAAGGGCCGTACGAGATTAAAATTTGAAAGCGTGGTAATATTTTCTTCCAACAGAGCAGCAGACGGTTGGAAACCATCCACAGCCCGTAGCAACCGGGTTTGGAAATGTAGAAAATGACCAGGGGGGGGGGGGGGGTTATAACGAAACCCCTTTACTCACAATATAGCAGCTGACTGCGGCAACATTGTGTGGTGTATATCTACAAAAACGCGATGTCGTAACGGACCCTAAATATCCCTCGAAGCATAGTCTACACACTTCCTGCAACCCAAACGAAATATTCTTCTCGACAGCTACGGCGTAGAAAATAATTACAACAGATTCTTCGTAACCTTAATTATAGGTATACGTCGCGAGATGTCGTTGGGTGTTTATAAAAAGTTGTAGAAGCACGAGCTACTTTTAAAAATTAAGGATCTACGCAGCAACTAAAAAAAAATTCGGGTCAGGATAATTATTATTCGCGTGAAAGTTGTGAACAGCGCGATATGACTCGCGTAGTAGATATTTCGGGTTTGTAAAAAAAGTAGATAAAAGAGATCTGAAAAAGAATTGCAAAATTTATGGAGGATCGAATTAGGTTATAAATGGAAATCGGTTTGTTTAATACGTGAAAATTTAACCCTTTGCAGTCAGTGAATTTTTGAACATTTTTTAATTATTCATTTTAATATACTTTCATAATGAGAAGGTTTTTGGAATCAAAAATTAAATCGTGTAGATTCGTTTAGATAGTAACCTTTTTCTAGTATTCATTTTTATCAATGAAAATGTAACCAACTATCTAGCACTACCAATGTCTTCATAATAAAGAGCAAAGGGTTGATATATAAATAGGTTTGTTTAATGTATTTAAAATTATAACAAA